GCTGACTAAATACTTTTTTGCCCCACTGTATATATTGGATTACAAAACTTTAACACTAAACGCACTAAAAGGAGGAGGGCCTTAGCAGTTCCCTGTGCTAAATACCCTACTACATTAGACACTCTGACTAATGTCCTGCTCCACAGCTATAAGTGCTCCTTCACATGTCATTTCTACATGAAAACCAAACATCCATCGCAGAACAACTTATCTTTGCTCACATATGGATTAAACCTGAAGCTTGTTGCTTGGTGGATTTCCTTCCTGGCTTGAAGTGTTGAAAATAAGCATCATTTCTGTGAGCTGACTCATCCAAAGCATTAGATAATATCGCTTCACAGTCTGCTGCATATTCACAACACAACAAAACGTCAGCAAGTCTGAGACTCAGCCAAACCCGGCGACTCTGAGCCAATAGTGTTATCAGAAAATCTTATGTCAGTGTTTTTGAAACGGGGAAGACACACAGTATTTAATGTGGCATAATCACCACCTTACATGTAAATATATGCTAACCATTAACTCCCTAGCAGGGAATAATGTTGGCATGCAGAGGCTTATCACTTCACTTCAATTCTTGTTTAAACAAGCCGAATTGCAAGCATTACTGTAGCAGAGTGCCCTCCTGCAGCCAGTGCACTCTGCAGAATACGCTTGTCTCAACATCACTACACCAACACAGTTACAGCGAATATAGAAACAACCGATATGCAATAAACAGTTAGGACTTCGACAATTTATTATTCATAAAAGAGTGGGTAACTTTCTAAATGCATTGCAAAATCCACTCTGACTAGTCAAATTTTTCTCACCCACAATGCAAATAATTTGGCAGAAGAGAAAGCTACCTACAGACAACATACCATTTGATTTCTTAGAGGTTCACATCAGTATTTGGATCTGTGTGCACTGACAGTTATCAGATTAAAAAGGCTTACCTGCTTTGTACGCTATTGTGTTGGTTTTGGCCACAGACTTCTTGTAACACAGGTAGACTGAGGATCCCCACTGAAAACAAGAGCAGAAAACAGGTCATACTGTTATCCTCTAGGTCATCTTAGGGCCAATCAGGATCAAAACGCATCAAAATCTCATCTGGGCTCGCATTCCACTTAATCCTTTTCAGAACTGCAATTCTTTCAAATAACTAACAACAAGCACTATTTAAGTGTTTTTATTGTGCAGCACAGTATCAGCCTAGGATCTGTTCTCTGTATGTGGATAGCCATAAAATCAAACTTGCTTCCATCATGTTTATTAAATGTAAACAAGATTAAATAATGGACCTAAACGGCAGAAGTGGCAGCCAACCGTGGCTGCAGCATTCCTGAGGGAGGACCCTGTTGTGATTAGTGCACTGATAATACTAAACATTTTCAGAGGAGACATACTGTATTGTCTCCACCAGCAATGTTTTGACCCTTTAGACTCTTTACGTTTGGAGAGTTACTGCTTTAGTCAGGAGAAGATACAGCAGATACACTAAGTATCGAATATGGTAATGGCCTGTATTTATATAGCGCTTTACTAGTCCCTAAGGACCCCAAAGCGCTTTACATATCCAGTCATCCACCCATTCATACACACATTCACACATTGTAGCCACAGCCACCCTGGGGAGCACTGACAGAGGCGAGGCTGCCGGACACTGGCGCCACCGGGCCCTCTGACCACCACCAGTAGGCAACGGGTGAAGTGTCTTGCCCAAGGACACAACAACCGAGACTGTCCAAGCCGGGGCTCGAACCGGCAACCTTCCGATTACAAGGCTAACTCCCAACTCTTGAGCCACGATCGCCCCGAATATGACACCAATATTCAAAATAAATATATTTCTAAAGGTGCTACTGACATGAATTTCTCACCAGATGTTGGTAACGACCCATTTAATCTACACATGCAAAAAAAATCATAGTCATAGATCTCCATATATTAAGTCACATGTAATAACTAAAGAAATCTTTAGATTTATTTGCATAGATTTCTATTTATTTCCTAAAGCGAATGGTCTTACTTTGCTGAAACCTTCAAAACGACTTTTGCTTGCAACAGCTTTTGTCCAGATTAGAGGTGGGGAAGAGAAAGCCGAAGCAAAATCTGAATAAAGAACATCATAAACTGTTGACCCTTACATTTAGGAGATCTGGGTGTTCTGTTACTCTGTAGGGGGCATTTCGCTTGTATGGTCTAGTTAATTTGTGTGCCTTTAATTTATGGGCTATAAACAGTGCTATCTGAACTCCAGGGGGGCACACCAATAAAAACACTGCACCTATAATAACCTATATAAGATAAGTCACTATGCCTCGAAAGAACTAAGTTCAATTTCAGCACATCTATGTTCTTCCACTTCCACGCAGTCTAAAAAGTTAGATGGTTAAAAATCTAACTTCAGTGTGGTATGGTAGGACATGGTTAATGTCTCTGAATCAATAGAGTCCTCAATGGACACATCTCTGGCTTTGATTACATTAACAGCTTAGTAGGACACTAATGGCTTGCAACACAATACTTCCTGGTGCAAAAATAAAGCTAAAAGAAAATCCATTAGGCCCTCATTCTGTGCAATTTTCAGACTCTCCAAAACCATCCAGGGGCTAGTTCTGTCCAGCAGGCTGGGTATTTCACACCTCTGCCTTAGAGGTTTGGAAATTAGTTCTGAGTGATCACATCACTGGTCTTTATCACAACACTTACGGGAGATTTTCCACTTGTGTGTCACTGTGTTAGATATTGTGCTCCATCACCATCATGAGAACACCAAAGACAGTAATATCTCACTCTGACTCGGTTTCCCAGACAAGTGTCATTTGGAACAATGCTGAGTGTAGAACTGTGTGTAAAATAAGTGGTAGAGCAGGTCATCTACTGATTGGAAGGTTGGTGGTTCGATTCCTGGCTTCCCCTAGTCTGCATGTCAAATATCCTTGGGCAATATACTAACCCCAAATTGCTCTCCGGATGCATCCATCAGAGTATGAGTGTGTGTGAATGTTAGTTAGAAAGCACCTACAAAAATCTGCTGGTGTGAATGGGTGAATGCACAAGTTGTGTAAAGCGCTTTGAGTGCTCAGAAGAGTAGAAAAGCGCTATATAAGAACCAGTCCATTTACATAACATCTGCCTGCCGATAAATCCGTCATGCTCTAAGTACTACGTACCATAAGTAAAGAATATCATCATTCATTGTTTTTCTTTAACTAAGGTCATTCTTGGGTAAATCCTAAAGGAATTAAATAAATAAAGTGCAATGCAAATTTTTTGTACTTTTGGGCATTTTGTATCAGTTATACTCCAATTAATTTAAAAGACCAAATATATTACATTTCTATACTTTTTAAATAAATATAAATATAAAATAAATAAATGTGAATATATAAGTCAAGCCAGACTCTTGTGAAACCATTAGCATGTGAAGAGAGGCAATGATGCATCATATACACAAACATGAAAAGTTGTCCCTGTGAGAAAAAGCTGGATTCCGACACATAGTAGACAAATAACTTAAGTAGAAGTATAAACACTTGTGTTAAAATACTATGGTAAAAGTTAAAGTACTGATTTGAAATTCTAGTAAATAATGTAATGAAAGTACAGCTCTAGTACTCAAAGTATAAGAGTAAAAAGTAGCTCTTTGAACGACATTTCTGCCAACGATTTTTATGTAAAATGGACTGAACTTCATGTCATATTAAAATAATAATATTTAAAAAAATATTGGTAAATGTGAATGCAAACTGTATTTCCACTTAAACTCTAATTCTAATGAATGTGCTTAGCTTTAACATCTTTTATGCAGTACAAAAGCAGAGAAAATTGGAATTTAAAAAAAGCTCTGGGTGACTTTGCCTCCAGATCTAAACAGAATAAGGTGTACAGTGATGGATGAGGGAAGCAGGTGGGAGAACCTTTAACCCTTAGTGGTGGAGTGTGTGGAAAAGAATCACTTAGAAGTAACTCACAATAATTTGAGCACAAGCTGATTTTATGTCCAGGTTGTGATCAGCTGCACTATGCTGCTAGGTCTTTGTGAATTTATCCAACTGAGTTCAACAAAATATAAGCAGATGCTACATGAGTTCATGTCACCCACCCTACATGGATACCTGCTAATACTTGTTGAGCTTTTAGTTAAAATGCATTTGAAAGTATCTGCCACTCAAAAAAAGGTTACTTCTTTTGTGCTCACTCCTGTAGCATTAGCTGGATGGTAAAGTACAGTGACTACGACTTGCGGACATCTGCACCAAAAGTATGTTTCCAGATTTTTCCCTTCAACAAATGTTACATATAATAGTAACATATAGTATAGTACAACAAATGATGCATAAATTGGTTCATCTCTACCTGTGTGACAAGCACCATAATACACCAATAGGATTGTCTTCTAAGGTTTTTATTCCCTCCATTTAGGCAAAAATTGATCTGGTGATTAGTGATGGGAAATAATACCCCCACACACAAAATGTCTTGAACCTAAGGTAGGAAGGCTTTTTGAAAACTAAGGAGTAGTAAGAAGAGATATTTGTGTTTAAAAGTGAGGGAGTATAAGTACAAACACTGTCAAAAAAACCAAACAAACGCTCAAGTAGATACAGATACCTAAAAATTCTATGTAAGAATCTTATTGTGGTGGAGGTGTGGTCCCTGGCTCGGCTGCAGGGGAGGAGTGGTGCAGTGAGCTCAATGGGGCGGTGCTGGGGAGGCAGATGAGAACACAGCTGGTGGCGTTTGGTCTGATGACAGTTTCTTCCCCTTTTTAGTGAGACGGGAGAGGAGCGGAGGGGAGCTTTGGAACAGCTGAGACCTGCGCGGACCAGACTGTGAACTGTCACAATAAGCAAACCCATAAATAAACGTGACATCTCGCTATACCGATCTGTGTGTGTGTGAAGTGCATTTCACACTTATTAAGGTACAGCACCAAACTTTTTGTACTTTATTACTTCCTACCTCTGCTTCTGACAACTAAAACTAAGGATGCTTCCAAAGTTTAATAAAAATATTTAACAGGACATCACATTCTGCTTCAGGCACTAAAAGTCTATAGATTAATGAACTAGGAAATTTCAGGACACATGCAGCCACAAACAGCACATTGAAGGGGATTGCCTATTCTAAGAAATGCCAAATGTAGACCTCGCTGACACTGCAACGACTTTTACAGTAATTTAATTTGTGTGTGTGTGTGTGTGTGTGTGTGTGTGTGTGTGTGTGTGTGTGTGTGTGTGTGTGAGAGAGAGAGAGACTGTGTGTGGTTGCATTGGTGGGTGAGAGAGAGAAGCAGAACAACATAAAAAGAATATGACAGGAAAGTGAACAGAGCACAAATACTGGGTGTGGAGAAACTGAAATGCAGAAGCAGACAACATCTAGCTCAAGGGGCTTCACTATATGAAAAAAAAAACTATATTAAGAAAACACACGCACACACAGCATTGAAAAAACCTTCATGAGGCATTTTACGATGGTTCTCCATAATTAGATGTACTAGCCAATTGGAGCACCTTACATGAAGGCAGAGAATTCTCTTCAAAATACTGAAATACACATTTAACTAGAAAAAAAACAATAAACAGATGAGATGGCTTTCACTCCATAACATGTGTCAGCACAATAAAGAAAAAAAAACAAAAAACACAGAAGTTTGACTTGAACAGAATGACTTAAAATCTTTTATCACATGACAGTATGAGAAGAAAAAAAAAGTTCAGAACCATCTTGTATTGCTGACAAGTTTCACACCAAAGCTTTAAGAGACTTAAAATGAGACAGCAGAGTGAAGTTGAGGATTCAAGACTTATGACTAAATGTCTTAGCATTTCAGGTGACGGCCTGACAGCACAAGCAACCATCTGCTGAATTCAAAATGTCATAGAGTACCTTCAGAAAGGGAAAAAAATCCACATTCAGTTGTTAAGAACTGTTTGTTTGTTTTTTTAAATTACAAGTTATTCTGTTTTGAAGAATATGACATTATTGGGTTTACCCAGTTGCTCTCGACCTGCACCTATCATCTACTTTTCCTGTTGTTAAAAATCCAACAACACTACCAACAACATTTGCATTGGCATATTTAGACTAAAATGGCTCATTCCCATTCAGATATTTGGTTTATACTTTTAACTTATGTTTGCTTCCAGTTTACACTTTCTGTATCTTACCCTCTTTATGCTGATGTCATTCGTTCTGTTAGGTCTTTCAAACTAATCTTCCTCCTCAATAGCTGAGGTCTGTGGTTTTGAGTGTGTGTTGCTATTTTTATTTGTGTGCAACTTGTACATAAAGTTCAAAATGTTTGTTACACTTTAGTATTTGTGTCTTTAGCACAAAAATGAAAGATGCTACATCTCAAGGAGATTTCCTTCATATATAAATAAATGGCCTGTAATGAGTGCGCTGGATAATCCTGTTGCTTTAACCAACTGGCTTCTTTACTCTAAAGAACTAAAGAAATCAGTGATTTCTGGCCTAAAATTCATATCGCGATATAATTTGAAGCATGTGCGGTAACGATATATATCGCAATATATTCTTTTCTTCTGTATAACGTATTTTCCACACTATAAGGCACACTTAAAATCCTTTAATTTTCTCAAAAATCGACAGTGTGCCTTATGTATGAATTCTGGTTGTGCTTACTGACCTCGAACAGATTTCTGCATGCAGAAATCTGTTAAAAAATGTTTTAGTACAACTTTGATAAGCTGCACTGCTTGATAGATTGTCAGAGCATTACGGCTGCCATAGTGAGGAGCTTCGCGGAGTAATCTGGGTCCAAAACTCCATCCATTCAGGTCCCAAAGTCAAAGGCTAAGGGCTAAAAACGGTCTAAATTATTTCATCTTTAATTAAATCATCAGCGTTGCTGCTTTATCGGGTGTAACAATTAAGTTTTACATCCATGCATCCATGAAAACAGAATTTATTAAATTTAACAGGAAGTTAGCTCGCTAGTTTACACCTAAACATTTCATACCATGTTCTGACTGAGAGATTTTTGAAACTAATTCAAACGTACAGCTCTGCTACCACTTCCAACATAAATGAAGACAGAAAACTAAACAGCAGTGCCGTTTGTAGGGTTACTAAAGTTGGACTACCTGGTATATAATGTTGTGCTACGTGATTGCTAGCAACACAGCTATTTTAGCATAACATTAGCACAGTGAAGCCGGAGGATGAACACCAACTTTTTTTCCACTCGATAAAAGTTAACGTGAGGGATTCTGGTGGTCAGGGACAAATGCAATCGCATAGCAGGATGCTATACACGGGCCAAACTTCAGTCAGGAGAACAACTGAGATTATTCATCCACAATACGAGGTTAGTTATTAATATACTGCAACAACATGGGAATAGAGCAGCTGCGAGAGAATTCAACATTAATGAATCAATGTTACGGAAGTGGAGGAAGCGCAGTTTTTGGTTTTCCCCATATTTCAAAAGTGCTTAATCTCTTTGCTATGACTGTCGCCCACCATAATTTGCAGATGATAATGGTTGTAGCCGCTGCGATGCTTTCGACCAAAACAGACGCAGCTTGATGACATCATCAACATGTGCTATCGCGATAGAGCGATATAGTCAAAATCTTTATCGTTGGCCAAATTTATATCATTTATATCGTATATCGTTTATATCACCCACCCCTGAGTGATGTATTCCTCTATTCCTCACCAGTTTCTCCCTTACCATGCTGCTGTTGAGATTCTTCTCCACCTTGCAGAAAGTGTGTGGTGGGGTCTCCCCTTTGCTCGGGATGATGATGCAGACGTCTGTGAGGGCCAAGGCGGCGTGCGGCTGGCTCTCGGGAGCCCGGCGGTAGGTGATGTAGATGCGTTGGGAGGAATTACCACTGATGTTGGCTGGGCGACCAGAAGGTGTGGTTTGGATAAGGTGGCAGCCCTGCTTCAGACGCTCCTTCCACTCATACAGCACACTACAGGAGGAAGCACAGCAATGTGGTCAACCACATAAACTGCCACATTGGGGTGTAGTTATTAGTGTGATTTCCATGCACAATTGATTGCTGGGCTACTCAGCTGGAGCAAGTCCTGCGCTAGTGCAGAATTCAGTGGCTGGCACAATGAAATTGATTAGTCTGCTCTGTATTATCTTATCCAAAGCAGCATTTGATGGAATTCATGAAAAACAGACATTTATAAGCATTCAAAGTGGCAAATTCAAGCTCAGAACCACCTCCATTACTTTGGCCACAATAACGCATGTTGCAAAGGAGGAAAAAGTCTGGACACTATCTGGCTCCAATTTAATAATGGAATTCTTGCCAGCCACAGTCTTGTTGAGCAGACATCCTTTTCCAGTCCAAATAAGACATTAGTTTACTAACATCTATTTCTTTAAAAGAACAGACAAAAAAAGGGCCACATATCACAGTTGTTTGTCCAACACTGTACAACTACACTGTTTATGCAAGGAGGAAGATTATTAATCACATTAGAAAATGATTGACTGATTGACAATGACTGAAAATACTGATGACCACCAGTGCTACCCCACCTAGATCTTGAGTTGAAGACTCACTGTGATTCCAACCTCTCTAAGGTTTTTAGTAAATGTGCCTATGGTATCGATTTGACGGTCCTACTTCGCCTCGTTCAGGAGTTATCGCATTTACAAACTTGTAACAAACTCGTGTCCAGGCAGCCCACCCACCCCTGGTATTGTCTAATGATATACTAAAACAGATCAAAAACGACACTATAGATCTCATTGAGAAACAGCATACGGCCCAATTAATACAGACAATATAGAATTTGCAATAAACATTACCTGTGACTAAATGGTAAATGGCCTGTATTTGTATAGCGCTTTACACTACATTCAGTCATCCACCCATTCATTCACACACTGGTGATGGCAAGCTACATTGTAGCCACAGCTGTCCTGGGGCGCACTGACAGAGACAGAGGGGAAAAAGCATTACAGATTCTCAATCTCTTCCATCACTCACAGGAGGTAATCAGTATGGAAGCATGTTAGTTTCTTTCTAACACATATTAATTACAGCTGCTGGTCAAAGACTGTCAGCTTGGCAGCAGTGTTGCTAGTTAGCTTTCACATCAGGCAACGGTAACACGCCAGCTCACTTAAACAGACATCACAAGATCCTAATGTAGCCAAGTGAGCTGAGGCTGCATTCAAACCCAAACTGACAACAGTCTCTGCTTGTGGTGAAGCTAAGCAAGAAAAAAAACCAAAAAACAACAAAACAACAAAACATTCCAACTTTGCTGTAGATGACACTGTATTTAGAAGCAGCACAAATTTAGCACCAGTGTTTATTCCAATGCAACCTTCTCTATTTACTGATTCCTTCTTATGTGCGAACTCAGCTTTCAGCTGGAACACTTTGACTTAAATGCACATTTGGTAATGAAAAGATATCAAATCAGTATTCGGTTTTTCTGCTTTTAATTGAAAATCTTATTTTTTAAGCAGAATTTTAACTCCTATTCGCTTGTACTTATCAGCTGAATTTGCCTTTGACTGACTTTGAGATTTGTGATAGTCTTCACACATGTATATACACACAGCTTACAGTATACTGACACATATATTGAGCCTGTACTGCACAAGAGGACCCTTGTACAAACCACTTAGCGGACAAGTACTGAGAGATACGCAACAGTGGCAGTAATTTTAAACACTCCTCTTGGTATTTCCATTATGCACTTATCCTCCATTACTGTTTCAAGTGAACTCAACAGGCATTTTGTGGCACTGTCTGAAAGCTGGAAAGAGAAGAGAATGTAAAGTAGTCGACCGAGAGATTTTTATAGTTTCTTTCTTTTTGGTTCCTGCGCTGATTGCTGTGGTAGCAAAGTGACCGACTTTGCTCTGCACGTCTTTCTGTGCTGTTCATATGTGTATTACATATGAACAGTGTATTACATATATTTGTATTGACTGATGTCAATACAAATATATACAATACACTCTTAAAAAATGGCTCAATAAAATATGTATTTATAAAACAAATATTCCCAGGGTAGGGTTACCTGGGCCCTGCCCTGGAGCCAGACCTGTGGAGGGTGCCCAAGGGTGAGCGCCTGATGGTCGGACCTTATGCCATAGGGCAGAGTCTGGTGCAGCCTTAAGAAGGGGCGTGTAGGGACATTCTAACTGTATCATCAAATCTGCAGTTGTGTGTTCTGGACACTGAGGTAAAGAGAGAGGCTGAGTTGCCACCAGGTGGTGAGTTGGATCAGGTGGTGAGGCAGCATACTAGACAGACCTGCATGTCATAACATATAATTAGGATGCTGCGCTGGGACCGCCTGAGAGAGGCCCCGGTCCGAAAGATCTTCAACTCCCACCTCTAGCAGAGCTTTGACAGCATTCCAAGGGAGACTGGGCACATTGAGTCCAAATGGACCATGTTCAGTACCTCAGCAGTCGCAAGGTGATCAGTGCCTGTTGTGGTGATAAAATGCAAACCAGATTCTAGATACTGCAGGTGAAGGGAGCCATCAGACTGAGGGAGTCCTATCGAGCTTGGTTAGCCTGTGGGACTTCAGAGACAGCCTATAGATACCAACAGGCCAGGTGGAACACAGCTCAGGCAGTGGCTGAAGCAGAAAGGAGGGATGAGTTTGGAGAGACCATGGAAAGACTTTTGGACTGCCTTGAAGAGCTTCTAGGAAAACCGTCAGGCGACGGTAGATGTTGTAAGGCTGTCTTGGTTGACACGTCTCTACAATGTTTCATGGAGAGCAGGGGCAGTACCTTTGGATTGGTAGACCAGGGCAGTGGTTCCCATCTTCAAGAAGGGGGACTGGTGGGTGTGCTCCAACTATAGGGAGATCACTGCAGCTGCAGTGAAGTGGATACTGTAACGGTCCATCATGGTGAAGAGAGAACTGAGCATAAAAACAAAGCTCTCGATTTGCCAGTCAATCTAAGTCCCTACCCTCTCCTACGGTCACAAGCTTTGGGTGGTGACTGAAAGAAGTAGATACAAGTGGTGGAAATGAGCTTTCCCCAAAGGGTGGCAGGCCTCTCTCTTAGACATAGGGTGGGGAGTTCGTCCATCCAAGAGGGGCTCAGAGTACAGCTGCTACTCCTCCCCGTCAAAAGGAGCCAGTGGAAGCTGTTCAGGCTTCTAACAAGGATGCCTCCTGGGTGAGGTGTTGTGGGCATGGGAGTGGCCTGGGAGTGCTTTGGTATTCCCCTGGACAAGCTGGAGGAGGTGGTTGGGGAGAGGGAGGTCTGGGCTTCTCTGCTTAGGCAACTACCCCCATGACCCAGCCCTGGATAAGCAGAAGAAAATGGATGGGACGATGAAGCTCTGTATGTTCCCTTTTTAATTCTCATTATAGACCTTTTTCAGGGCACACATTTTGAGCACTGTTTACAATTACCGCTTCTTGTAGTCAATAATATTAACAATTACATTTATTTAGGAGAGAACGATCCAAGGTGTGGTATTATATGTGATGGTTACTGAAGAGAGATTGCATAATTAATGAATAATAGTTAACAGTTCTACCTGTGGCTTTCCTGCTGTCATGAGTCAAAATGTGTGCGTTGAAAAACTTAAATTGCCACACATACACAACACTTTCTCCATTTGCAGACAGTGCCAGCAAAAAATATAATGTTTGAGTAAAACTGCATGCAAATAGTGCCTACACCTGTTCACCCACATAAGCCCTCAGTAACCATTAGTGTTGCCAGTGTCTGGGAAGTGCAGCCCCTTTGGGCTTTCAACACACAAAAGCTGCTGATATTGTCTGAGCACATTCTTTGTCAGTGCCTGATAAGCACTGCACTGTGTAGTGTCAGAGGCCAGTGAGAGCCTCCTTAGCATCATCACCGCTAGTATGGGAGTGCTCAGCAAACAGTATTGAATTCACACAGCTGAAAAGATGCTGCTGAAGAGGACACCTCTAACGGTGCTTCGCTTCCACTTTTCTGTTGGTAAAATCACAATGGCTGAAAGCAACTACTGCGGAAAACTGCCACCAAGGAGGATTCCAGGGCAGAGCAGAGCATTTTCTGACGTGAGAGCACTTCAGCTTTTTGGGCCGCTTTTCACAGCTGGTAGAAAGCTGCCAGTCACAGGAAGAACAACCACAATGTTTCCTGATAACAGCAACTGATCTTAAATAGGGCTTCTCCAGAAAGTTTGTTAACTGTGAAATGAGGGGAATTTAGTTTTTGTTTCAGCGAGAGCCAGCTTCAACTCTGGGCCAGTTACCAGGGTAACAGACTCCATGAAGCTAAACTGCACACTGGCAGGTTTTTAATTTTTTGTTGTTGAACTAGGACTCCTCTCATGCTTAGCCTGGCTGCGTCAATGCATATCATCATTCATTCAGTCGATACCAAAGCAAATATGGCAATACATCAATTAGCAGTTTTAAGTTGTTTTTTTTTTCCTAGGATGACTTCCAGTTAAACATTAATCACTCTGTGCTCAAAGAACAAGGACAAAAATGTTTTTATAAGCTGTTTTTTATAAAGCTCTGTGACTGTAAAGACAATAAGGCAACTGTCAGGTTGTCAGCCAGTTCCTCTGCACTCAGATCAATATCAATTACAACATATGGTGGTGACTATATGAATATATCCAGGTGAGGATTATTGCGGTGTAGCTGAAACAACTTAAAGATTCTTAAACTGGACTAACAATGTAGTTTAAAGGGAGATTTTGAATTCAGGGTGCAGGCAGTCCGAATGTGTTCAAACAGCATTTAATGCTGAAATATTTACACACCTCATAAATAGAATCATTAAATGTTGACATGCAAGATTTGTGAGTCCAAAAGGACATTTAAAAGTTAAAAGATGGTGTGAAAAACTAAATGTAGTAGGATTCCAGCTTTTTTTTTTAATCTAACTGGGTAAATGACAATTGATTGGAGCAAAGAAAATAAAATCATTTTAACTTATTTTATATTTCCCTGCTGATTTTTAAGATAAATGTCACTGCTTCACATTGACATGCATTCAGAACTGGAATGGATGAAAAATGGACTGTTTCTTTTATATCGCTTTTTTTTTTAATCTAATCCAGGGATAATCTCTGCTCATCATTTATGCATAGCCACAGTACTGTAGGCCAATTCCCCTTTTTTCCACACAGAGAGTTAACATACATAGCCAACTTATCCCTGGTCATGATCAGACTCAGAGTTTCTCATAAAAGAGTGAATCAACTCGAGTTTAGAGTTGAAATCAAATTTGCTAAATTTGCTTCCTGGAATGGTTCCAACAAGTAAGATGAATAATAAACGAGATTGTGTACTGCATATGTAAACAACAGCACTGCATGTCTTGGGCAGGCTTGGAGTCAGCACATCATTACAGTCATTCATCCGAGGTGTTTAGAAAATTCTGTCAAACTGGTGAATTTAATGAGTATCTAAATCCTAGCAAAAGTGACTCAATTTACATTTTCATAAATTTATTCTAATGTTCACAACGCACGTACTGTTATTTCAAAAGAGAAGTGTAAACACTTTCCCATTTGTCTTTTTCACCTTCTTTCTGCGGCAGAATTCAACTCTCTTTTTTTTTAATGTACAGATATTTATGTCTCCCAGAGGATGAACTGGATCTCTTTATTTTACATGCATTTATATAATCTGTCCCACTTGGTTTTTGCAGTCTATTCCAGTTTTCCTGACAAGGTGACACTTTTCCATACTTCAGTGGTAATATGAATTGCTTCCAGACTGGATCCTCCCATCCCTAGCTTTATCATCATCATCATCATCATCATAAATTCCTTTCTGATTTTGCATTTTGATGGCAAAGTAAAATTGACATCTGAGCATTTACAAAAGCATTTGCAGGCAGGTTAATTCTTGGCCTACACAAGAAGAGAAATACTTTAATGAACACCTCCACTGAAAAGCTTTAGTCTCAGACTAGCCCAAATCCACGTTTGGGACACCAAGCTTTAACCTGCTTTGCATCAGCATGTAAATGTAGTCCCTGACAATGTTAGCAAGCTCACTTAAACAGCCAAACACAGACTCAAAGTGGTGTTAGCCCAGCTATAGAAAAGGTTTTGGAAATAAAGACAATGTTGTGCTTTGCCTTGTTTAATTACAAACAAGGCAACCTCCTTTGGTTACTTACCCCAAGTCGGTTAGTGGTGGCTTGTCACGACCTCGCCTGTAGCACAATAAGATCTGCGGCGCCATGAGGGCGCCGTTGTTAAGATCAGCCGATTGGCCTGTCGGTGTTGTTTCTATGCATGTGAACCCTGGCGGCACCTCCTCCCCCACTGAGCGGATCACCACTGCCACATCTGTGATGGGTGCCTTAGGCTTGGCCGTCTTGTGGCAGACATCATCAAAGTGGATCTCCTGGTCCAACGGCTTGGACGGGTCCGTCAGACCAGCCACCACAAAGTAGTCGGCTACACGAGGGCCTTTGTCCTCCATCATTTCCCATCCCCGCCAACTACCTTCAGAGGGAAAAAGAAAGACAGGGGTAGAGACACAGAGAAAGAGAGAGAGAGAGAGAGACAGACAGACCAGGAGATTAATTTTCGTTGTGGTTGCAGGTACAGACGGTTCTTGTGTCCTTGCTCTGGCTTTAAAATGAAAAAAAAAAATCTGACAGCCATAAATCTTTCTAAAGGGAGGCCAGTAGAAGGGCAAATGGAAAGAGAGGGCAAAAATGTGGGGAAGAGAGGCTATATAATGAAGCAGCCATTTAGAGCTTGGGTAGTTAGCTGACAGTCTTTGGCCAGGTCATGTAATCAGCGGAAGGTTCAGCGTCCCAGCTCAAGGACACACGTGGATGTGATGAGGGCATAACATTTTTGGTCTTGAGGTTTTTCAACCTTACTCTAATTCTAAAGAGTGAAACTCTGGCTAGCTACACAGACCTGAGTGTGCATTTTGAACAGGGAGCAGTGAGGTGTTTCTTCACACATTCCACCTTAATTAAAGACTGCCCCCACGTATAAACCTGAGCTTACAAGCTTTGTGATATTACAGAGCCTATTAAGCCTGTGTGATAAAAGCCAAACAGTAGTTTTCTTAATCTAGCCCAGAAGGGCATGCTCAGACTCAATAAGATCATCTACATTTACTGAAGCAGCACAGTCTCAAACGGACAATGATATGGTTATATAAACTAAAGAAATGCCTTTTGTTAGAGATAAAGAAAACATCCTCTGCAACTGACAAATTACAGAGTTGCACATGTTTACCAGCATACAAACCTCAACCTCTGTCATGAGCTGTCATGAGGTTAACTGAACTTCAGGTATGAAGTTATGACCTGCAGTCTATCTGGGTCAGATATAAACCAAGTTTAGGTGTAGTTTATTTTCGTTGTGCTGAGTTTTTACAGTCAGTTACAATAACTCGTACTGCGTAGTAGGGCTGCTCAATTAATCGAATTTTAATCTCGATTACGATCTGGGCTTTCAGCGATCTTTAAAAATGACTGAGCCGATTATTAGCCCCTCCCTCGTGCTTTACTCTCGCGCTGCTCCGTGTGGCAAATCGAGCGCACCTCTCTGCATTTCGAACACGTGTCACAACAATTAAGAGCAGCGGTCCCCAACCTTTTTTGCGCCACGGACCGGTTTATGCCCGACAATATTTTCATGGACTGGCCTTTAAGGTGTCGCGGATAAATACAACAAAATGAAACTAGTACCGGTACCGAAAAAAAGAAAATTTATTCATAACACACGTGAAAAGACCAAGGAAAACCGAGTAAACGATAAAAACGATAACAAAATAACGCTGAAAACTGATAAAAACCCTGAAAACCATACATTTCACACCTGAGCCTCAACTCTCGTGGCCTGGTACCAAACGACTCACGGACCAGTACCGGTCCGAGGCCCGGGGGTTGGGACCGCTGATTAAGAGGACCCGACGGAAGCTCGGAAAGCTTAGCAGAAGTCATTTGGAGAGGAGAGTGACTGCCGTTGGTTGAAAAGAGAGGTAAAAAAAACTTCAGTGGTGTGGAAACATTATGGGTTCGCGGAGTCAGACGTGGATCAAGTAGACATAGTGTGTAAACTTTACTACAGTGTCGTAGCTGCACCACAGAGCAACACTGCAATATAAAAAATAAATGAAAAATGTAAACATCTATGTTTAGTGAACTTTGCAAACATTTGCACTGTTATCAGTATTTGCACACTATTTTATATTATTTTTTGACAATCTTTAAAGTCATTATTCAATACATTGTTATTGTTAATAAATATCGTCAAATAATCGAGATCTCAATTTCAGTGAAAATAATCGTGATTATCATTTTTGCCATAATCGAGCAGCCCTACTGCGTACTAGCTAGCATGATGGAGTTTCTATACAGCATGAATGCTGGACACTCAGAGACTGAGTGGGAGACCAGAGATCACATTAACATGTGTATCGCTGTATTAACAAACATGCCATATTGGCCCAGTTCATTTTTCTTATCATTGTTGTGAGGAGACCATAAATAGCATTTGTATTTTTTGTTGTACAGTTCATTTGCTGTTATGGAGTTCTTGTTATGGATAAAAAAGTGTATTTTTTTGTTTCAAAATAGCTGAAAATTATTCGCTGATAGCTGCCAACATCTGCAAAAAAATACAATTCTATAAAGCTGTTCTATGTAGTGCATAACTGTTAATATAGAGTGTTATTAAATTTATTGCAAATGCAGTCATATGGCACACTGACTTCTGAGAAAATTTTAGATGACGTTTATTCAGCTGTGTAAAAACTATCACTTTAATCTCAGCCAAACCGCTTTACTCAGGAACAAATAAAATACTGAAAAAAGCCAAATAATAACATTTCTAAGTTATCTAAGTGACTTATATATCATGTTTAACCTGAGTAGCGAAAGACGGCGGTGGGTTTGAAAACCATTTGCCGGGAGTCCGGTGTTCTCACCGGCTCTAGTGAGCCTTGAACCCCGGCTAGCTGTCGAGCTGGCGGGTAACAGACGTTTTGAAAATATGTGGTGTCTTGATAAACTGAGCAGATATTTGAAGTTTACACAGCTACATTCTCGCCTGAAAATATGTTAAACGTTTATTTTGTTACCCAGAAAGAATAATAAGAGTAATATTAAAACTAACTAGCAGCCACCATTGTTGAAAACTGAGCAGGGCCGTGTTATGAATTCTGGGATAGGTTGGGCCACGAAGTATACACCCGACCCATTCAAATCTGGGGAAATGAAGGGCGCATTTGTGGGCCACATTTGTCGAATTTGGACAGTCTTTGTCGTGTCACTGTAACGTAATCGGCCTACAAATGCGGGCACAGGAGGATGTGGTTCCTGAATTTGGACACAGATATGATACCGTCTCACTCCCCGATCCGTACCGGAAACCTGATCGGTACCACGCATGCGCAAATCTTACGTCACTTCCTCTCGTTGCCAACATTGCAACAGTTAATGTATTTGAGTGACACGGTTAGCGCCCAGTTAGCTCATAGCATTTCTCAACAGCTCTGCCTCCTTTTCAACTGCCCGGGACACTTAATGGATAATCTGTATACAAACAAATTCATGCTTTTCTCCTCAACAGATTGAACAACAGCGCCGTAAAATAAGAAGAATGGCACCTAATTACAGAGTTAATAATACTGACTTAGTAATATGTCACGTTAAGATTCATCAGCCAGATTAAGTGTTTCCTGACATTTGACAGTGATAGCGGACATCATCATCACTATTCCAACGATCCTCTCCACACAGACAAGCATAAACACACTCGACTATCTCTAAATCAAATTTAACATGCATTTGTAATGACACTAGTTCATTTTACAATAGGGCTCATTCGCTCAGTCAGCAGGTGGCGTTATCCTCGTACACTGGGGAGTAAACTGCCATTAAACGAAACAGAAGAAGAAGAATAAATCTGCACATAAGCGGTACGGACCGGGTAGACCCGATTTGTACGGTCCAACTTTCCACGTGCGCAGTAAGGATCGGGGAGTCCTGATTAGGGCTGCCACAAACGATTATTTTGATAGTCGACTAGTCACCGATTATTTATGCGATTATTTAGTCGACTAATCAGATCATCATCCACTGGACGTAAAACTACAGCTTATTGCACCAGCAGCATCTGCTCTTATATAACTATCATTAGCTTACAGCTTTAAGCTTTTAA